ACCCGGCGTTGCTCGGAAGATCTCTGAATAATGGTTTATTATGTACAATTTATTGATATTTTTCAGCCATCTGTATTTGTATAAAGGGCAGCTATCTGTAATTAATGACAAAATAAATATATATATATAAACTCCTTATCATCCAAGCCAGCTATTTGTTAAAAAGATTATCATCTCAGAATTAAAAAGTAAAAACGAACGGTAATAATTCTTATTCCCGATTAGGATTACCGTTTGTTTTTTACTTTTTAATTTTGTGGATACTTTCGAAGAGTTATCCAATTATGTATTTTTAAAAAAAATTTATTCTCTTGAATTTTTTTCACATCTACAGTAAATAAAAACGTAACTTAAAAAATACTAAGACGACAAAGTAAATTTAAAGAGGAATATTAAATACAATTATTTGCCAAAACGTTTGATATACATTTATTCAAATATTCCAATATGTCCGTGTGTGTGTCTGGCTAAAACTTAAAAACTACAATAATTAACGTGTGTGTATGATAGACTTATTAATATTTATCGGCAGTCTTATTGAAAATATTTTTTATTCAAACTTTGAAAAATATACCTTTTATTTTTTTTTTTTTTTATTTTTTTAATAATAATATATATATATATATATATATATATATATATATATATATATATATATATGGCACCATTTACCGAGGCAGAAAAAGAAAAGAAAGAAAAAAAAAGCAAAGGAGAGGCTAAGACCGAAAGCGTGGATGATAAGCAGAACACCACGGCTAAGAGACAATGGATAAAGGATATTTTGATAAGTAACAAAAATGGAAAGAGTGTCATTACAATGACAGGGAAATTCTGAGTGGATAAAGGAATCGACGGTGTGTTTCAAAGGGACGTAAAAAAAAATGGCCAAAAAAAAATCAAATGAAAATGTTATTTCGATAAGTGACGAAAAACAGGTGGACTAAAGGGCTTTGGATAGATATGAAAAATTAATTGTGTAAAAGCCGCACACGATGTGTCCACTGACCGATTTCTTTTTTCGACGGAACATCTTTAGCCTGCGATAATAAAATTATGTTATCAGAAAATGTACCGAAGGAAATGAATGGGAACTTAGAAATGTTTCTTTTCGGGGCGACGTTTGGCCGTGTTAAAAAGACCACCCATTCTGATAATTAGCGATAAGATGACTGACGAAGCCCAGGTGTAGAACAAGAGTTATGACCACCGTCGTACTTATTGTCCTGTTTGCGGCTAGAGAAAATGATAACTGCGATTAAGAGGAAAAGAAAAGATAATTTTTTTTTTTAGTTAAGCAAGATATTTTTTTTTCCTGAAACAAAGCCGCGGATTCGTCCACGCCCGACTAAGACATCATTGGTCGAGTGGTGATCACGTGACGCACGAAGGAGGCTGTCGCCGCCCATCCAGAGGATAGGTATGAGAAGCTGCTACGAAGAAGTGGGGAGGGCAGTTCACGCCCCTCTGAAGTATGGTGAGAAGGTGGGAGTAAGAAAAGGCTCCCAAAAATGGAAAAGAGTGGAAAATTCCTAACCAGAAATAAAAGAGGTGGATATGTATTTAGAATTATCGAGGAACCCCGACGCCGACAAACCCACCCCGGTTTTGGTCGGCGTCCATATAAGGAAGCCGCAGCGAGCAGAAAGAGTTTCAGTTCAGTTCGAGCAGAGTTGAGTTGGGAGAGAGTTCGAAGCTCGCAGTGGAAATTGGTTCCGCCTCGCAGATAGCTGACTTGAAAGATTCACGCAAATTCCGGACTCCTCTTCAATCCAAGAACAATTATTTTGAAGAGCGACTTAGATCCAGACCACCAAAATAGTTTTTTTTTTCGACTTTCGTCCGAAGACACACCGAAAAACCAATTTCTTAAAGAGCAAACAACTTGAAGCGTTAAAACTCGCCTAACGGAAAACAACGTGTCACAATCCATAGAACGGGTCGGGAGATAGACGCAGTCCTATGTATCGAACAACTAGACATAAAGTTTGTTATCTTTTTCTTTGATACCTTGAACTTTTGAGTTTTCATTTTATTTTCTTTTATGCATATTTGTGTGGTGTCACCCCCGTTGAACTCTGATTTGCATTACGGCCCCAACGACTGATTGATCTCGTCTGCCTAAGATCAATTCACAACGTGGGTAGGCAGACTGGAGATCAATGCAGTTACTTTGGTAACCAGGCGTTGGAAGCGAGTTGGGAACGACGAGGCTGATATCAAATCTAACCAGATTCCCACCCGAATCACCAAAAGGTTAGAACGTCACATTTGGGTGCCGCGACCGATACCAAGCCAGTTGGTCGTCACAGGACGAGACAACACGACTGACGCGACAGGCGGACGTCACGTTTGGAGCGGCGACACCCGAACGGAGCAGCGAGGAGCGAACAGCTGGCGCCGCGGCGAGGACGTCACAGTTGGTGCTGTGGATGGGACCAGAAGCAGGATATGACGTCACAGTTGGCGCTGCGACCAGTAAACGACGTCATATATATATATAAATATATATATATATATATATATATATATATATATATATATTGTAAACACATATACCGTGTGTAACAGCAAAATTGTCCGATTGACATTTAAACCGTTGAATATAAGAAATGATTAAAAATATCTTACTGCAAATCTCCGAGGCTTTTATAACATTATTGAACTCTACTTTGAACAATAAGAATGTATTTATCTTTAACTTGAAATGATGATCCCTCTTGCTGTTCTGACCTACAGATCCAATTTACTGATCCCTCTTTTTAAGATGATTCTTGAATGGACTTTGAAGATGGAAGCCAGAGTATGAATGTTGGTACCATTACTGAAGGCATGAATGATCTTTTTCCTCTCACTATTGCTCAGCTGAGAAGACATAGTGAGACTGATACAAAACGGTTTTATTCTGTTCTATTTCTAGCTAAAGAACTCGAAGGGGTTTTCAGTGATTCTTATGACAAATGTGGTTAAGAATGGCTAAACGTCTTATCCGAAAACCTGGAAAAAAGAAACTCAATTAGTTTTTTGTTTTTTTTTAGATATTAAACATTTTGTTGGATGATAATTATACGGTTACATGATTTGGACAATTTTGTTGTTACACAACGTGTCTCGTTTGTAAAGAAGGGAATCGTTTATGCTTTTCTTAATGGCAACAACTCAATATAAAGACACCAGCCTTAACTGAAATTTGAACCCGTTCTGCCAATTCCATTTCTGGCAATAATAAATCCCAACGCATCCTTCACATTCTGTGCCTTATAGAGTTTTAAAAAATAGAACCAAACGTTTATTCATGGAAATAGAAGATGTTGTATTATTCCACAGTTTATCAGTGTGAGATTAGACGATGGTATCGTTCTGGGCTTTCGTAGTTACCATCGGACGAGCAACTGTTGCCAAAGAAATATCACCCATCAGCAAGAGGCTAGATTCCTCCACCTTTTCTAAAAGAACTCCTTAGTGAGAAGATTAACGTAATGTTGATATATATAGTAAGGTAGATAACAAGAGAGAAAGAAGAAAATAAAAAGAAGGAATTGAAATGTAATATTTACTTATGTTCGACTCGATTTGACTTCTGCTACTTTCTCATATATATATATATATATATATATATATATATATATATATGTGTGTGTGTGTGTGTGCGTGTGATTCAAAAGATTTTTGCGTGACTTTTGTGTTTTGTTTAATGATCATTTCAAGTAAGGATAAGACTGGGGGAAAGATCAGTTTCCATCTCCGGCTTAAAAAAAGAAAAGGCACAAACCAGATAATTTGAATTTGAATTTACTGTGGCAGATGCCGTAGAGGGCGAAAGAAATGTGCTTGTGTTGGCGGGTTGCAGGAGCAAGTAATATATAAAAACAAGTAATGCAAATTCTTTATTTTTTAATCTTGTTTTTTTCAGAAAAGAAAGCGACCGAAATTCTTGGTCTGTTTATTCACTGTTACATATTTTCACTGGCATACTGCCAGAATTATAATATTATTTTATATATATATATATATATATATATATATATATATATATATATATATATATATATATATATATATATGTATATATACTTTTTATATTAAAATATATATATATATAACAAAATATATATATATATATAAATTATATAAAAAATATTATATATATAGTCATCCTTTTACAACCTGTTTCGCTTTATCGCAGCTCATCAGCATGACTAGACATCCGATTCTATAAAAAAATTCGACCGATTTGGCATCGGATATATAAAAATATAATATTACCCTTAAGGTATCGGTGCCTGGCAGAATATGGAATTTCTAACGTATTTATTTGAGTGTTGGGTTTGTGTGCAGCCATTGATTGCTCAATTTGTTAAAGATGTGCGTTATATAAATATATATATATATATATATATATATATATATATATGCGGTGTGTGTGTATAACCTTTGTATATTAGAAAATATATATATATATATATATATATATATATATGTTCTTGTGTGTAAATCAAAAGTGTGTGTGACACAATATATATATATATATATATATATATATATATATATATATATATATATATATTTAAATATTATATTATATGGAATGAATATATTATATTTATATAATTCATATATATATCATATACCAAAATACTTATTAAGAAAGGCTCAATATCAAAACCTAACATATTTAGAAAAATTTGATATTGATTTTTGACCCTGAATATTCACATTTTTGCGATCGTCAGACAAATTAATTGAAAAAAAAAAATTGGATTTATGTAGATTGCATGTAATAAATACATAAATAAATCCAAAATTTAAAAAAAATAATCAGTTTGTCTGACGATCGCAAATTAACTGGAATAGGGTCAGAAATCACATCAATCCATCAATATATATATATATATATATATATATATATATATATATATATATATATATATATATATATAAAGAAATTCCAAGAAGAAGAAGAAAGAGTTGTGCATTTATTGCCTTCCCTTTCTAATCTTAGTTTACGGCCATATCACATTGTAACCCCAGTTCCCGTACGATCACTGAAGTTAAGCAACGTCAAGCCTGGTCAGTATCTAGATGGATGACTGTTTGGGAATACCAAGTGCTGTCAACTTGTATATACGGATGATGCAATATCTAACAGCACGGAATTGGAAATAAGGGATTCGATTACCAATTCCAATCGGGTTCGTTATTTACCTTACGCGCGTAAATACTCTTGATAAAGGATTGAAATCATATTGCATTCTTCATATAATTTTCTATGGGTTAAATAATAATACGAATCAATCACCAAAACATCTGCAATCTTTTTTTCTATGTGCAACAACGGTTCTTGTACGATCACATAATTTAAGCAACGCCATGCCTGGCCAATAAATAGATGAGTGTCCTGTTGGAATATCAGTTGTCGTACGCTTGGCTGTGCGAGTGGTGTAATGAATAACCGCTCAAAATTCGAAATAGGAGAGATGATACCCAATTTCAGTGGGGTACGTTATATTCAAATACGTGCAAATACCCTAGAGAGATGTATAAATCCACCTCTTCTCTCCCCAGCTGTGGGTTAATTAGTAAAACTTGTATGACTAAATTAATATCTCCAAAGAATTCTTACATCTAAAAGTATTATCTGGCTTTAAATAACCAGTAAAAGGTTGATAAGCCGTAAAAAACAATCAATCAATCAAATGTCGCCTCCCTCTGTCTGTTCTACAAATACTTTCATGGAAATTGCTGATAGGAGCTGCATTATGGTTCCCAAACTTCATGAGTTCAAGCGCCCTACGAGGCTGGCATCCCGCTCTCACCCCTTCACTGTCGAAACTCCTAAATGTAGCCGTCTCTTCTACTCTAATAGCTTCATGTCTCGCACCTCTCGCCTGTGGAACTCTCTTCCCTTCTCCTGTTTCCCTGAGAGTTATAATCTCCAGCTATTCAAGTGTAATGTCAATCGACATCTCCAGTTGCCTTAATCTATCTACTACCCTCATCCTTTCTTCTATCACTCCTATCTGATCTTCCTATTTTCTGTAACCCCTTGCGTCATAGTGGCTTCCCGCCTTGCTTGGGGTGAAATGCTAAAAAAAAAAAAAAAATGTCTATGTGCCGTGTATGACTCTACACTGGAAAACTTTTAAGTTACCTTGATAAAATAATCGCTTTTGTTAATTTTATACTCTTGTGCAAATTAATTCAAACAAAGCGAATAATTCCGTTATTATTTATTTTTTTCGTATTTTTCCAATGTAACATGACCCAGTGCATATCTTAATGCTTTGTATGTTCATTCCACATCTTTCCTTGCAAATTGACCACAGATTGGATATGAATCAGAGTCCATCCGATAGTACTTTGATTTACTCACTGGTAAGGCTTGCCATTGTGTTTGTGCAGCGTTACAATTTTCGGAGGCTTCCTTGGAGTAACGTCCATCGCAGTAGGAAAACTAATCGACAGTCGAGACAATAGTGTCTGGGCGTACTGAAAATCTGATGCAATCACGGATGACGCAATACTTTTCAAGCCAAATGTATTTCATCTTACACCCCGATAATAGATTCACCACTGCAAATGACCTAATATATATACATATATTTTTTAGGAAAATTAGAAATCGATTACACCTTGTCAATCCAGTGGGTCTAAAACTGACCATATCGTGAAACAAAAGTAAATAAGGAGGTTCTTTCAATAAATTTGCACAAGGTTGTACCCTCAAATCTTTTCTCAGAACATTTCCTGATCTTTGATGGCCAGAAAACAAGTTAATGCGTTGTTGAAGAATGGATGATCCATCATCTTAAGCATAGTGATGCTGAAAGAACGTCATGAAGAATCACTGGTCCACCAGCGAAAATCTTCTGTTAGACGGCACCACCAAAAACGCAACATCTTATTTTTCAATCCTCAAGCTCCACAGACACTAGTGATAAAAATCCCACTGATAAAAACAAATCTTCTTATATATAAATAAATACGAATGTCTGTCAGTGTGTCACACTTTCTCAACTTTACTCCTAGAGGCCATAGACCTACATATCATACCATTTTGGAATCAGGCCGACTCTGTGAGCAAAGTAAAAACATTCTAGGCCGGATCTGGACCTGCAATCCTGAAATTTTTGATTCCCAAGTTTTCATTACTGCAATTATGTGTGTGTGTGTTTTCGGCTTTTCTTTTTTTTATGTGTTTTTTTTTTTTTTGCAACATTTTTTTTTTACAATAACAATTTTTATAACTTGGAAATAAATTTGGGAATAATGGAAATTAATTGAAAAATCCAGAAAAAAAATTTGAAATAGAAATAATTGTTTGTATGTAAAGTAAGGACATACCAAATTTTTGTTAAATTTTTGGCACCAGCAGAATTATCATTGAAATTTTTTAAAAAAATAAGTTAAACATTAATGCAATATGTAAATGTCCCTAATAAATTTTGAGTACTTTTTAGTTTATTATTGCTTATCATGTTTACTCCTCCTACCTTTTGATGGCCAAATCAAGAGCCCTAAATGGAGCTAGCTTAAATGCTGTCTGATAGGGTGGCTTTTCAGCTAAGAAATAAACATATTGTTTTATAAATAAATGGAGCACTTACTCTAATATGAGTATCAATTCAGCTTAGTCTCTGTACCTCTTTTTCCTCCCGCCACTTTTACTCCTTCTCCCCTATTCAAGAAAAAATACAATATCATATTTATTATAAAACCCAGGTTGTGTGTGTGTGTGTGTGTGTTCTGTTCGTTTATATATTGGATCGGATTTCCTACATTTTTCAACCTGATTTCAACAAAACTTCCCAGGACTACGTAAAATTACCTTGCGTTGGTTCTGACAGCTTAAAAAATTTGAAAAACAAAAATTTTTGCACGAAATCAATTTGAAAAAACACGATTAAGAGGCATTTGTGAATGAAAGGGGAAAACTCATATCGAGTTATACTTATTATAAAAACCCAGGTTTTTTTGTGTGTGTGTGTGTGTGTGTATGGGATCGGATTTCCTAAATTTTTCAAACCAATTTCAACAAAACTTCACTTTTTTTGGCAGGTAGTGTTTTTATTGTCTTGCATATTTTTTTTTTTTATTTTTACATTCAGAATGCTTTAAAAAATTCCATTTACAAGACAATTGTTTATAATAAAATTCTATTCAATCGGTAGACTCATAACGATTGAAAACAATGTTTTTGTTTGAGTTGGGGTTTGACCAATTCGTAAAAGAAAAACTAATTAAGACATGCGTGTCCGTCAACCTTAAACAATAATCTTTGTCAATTTTATTTTTCAGTCTTTATGATGGTCAATACTTGATCTATCTCTTACTGGTACATCCTACTGCTACTATATAATTAATGCGTATGTCAGTGTGTCACACTTTATCAACTTTACTCCTAGAGGCCATAGCCCAATATATCATACCATTTTGGAACCAGGCCGATTCTGTGAGCAAAGTAAAAACATTCGGGATCGGATTTATTTTTTTATTTTATTTTTTATTTTTTTGTACGATAACAATTTTTATAACTTGGAAATAAATTTGGGAATAATCGAAATTAATTGTGAAATCCAGCGAAAGTCACCCATGAAGTAAAAATAATTTTTTATAAGGAAAGTTAGGACCTACGTACATCAAATTGTCTTTAAATTAAATGGCGGCAGAATAATTATCGTTGAACTTTTAAAAGCTTAAATAGTAATGCAATACTTAAATGCAGCGAATCATTTTGAGTTCTTCTGTAGTTTATTGCTGCCTATCGCATACGGCAGCAGTATGCCTCGCAAAAAGAAATCTCCGCCAACAGGAGACCAGATTGCAATCAAAAGAGTCAAGGCTGCAGTGAGGAAAAGAAAATCCCGCGTAAATGAAAACTCAGAACAAACGGCAGCTGATCGGGAGATTCTGAGGAGCGTGAATCCACCTCTTAATTGCTGATGTTCCCAGGTCCACCATTACCCGAGGTAGTAGCACCTGTTAGGATCCCAAATATGGGCAAATAGTTAATTCCTAAACTGGGGTTAAAACACTATGAAAGTGTAAACGTAGGTTTTACTAACAGCAATATTATTTTGAAGGAAAAATTATTACTAGCAATACATTTTTGAGGGAAAAAACGCCACAAATATAGTGAATTTTCAAGCGTAGCTTAGTATTAGCACAAGGCATAAATTATGGAATACCCAGTGAGGATCGACCTGACTTGAAATTGTTCTAGTGGGAAAAGTCTGCAAACCATCACCCCATGTCGAGGTACCCAATTGCTAACTCTATATTAAAAAATATAACCAGGAATGAAAATCTTGTCGGCATTAAATAACCCATTGAGATTGATATGCTATAAAACAAACCAAACTAAAGCAAACCAAACTAATAGATAGATAGATAGATAGATAGATAGATAGATAATGAATATCTGTGAGATAGATAGATAGATAGATAGATAGATAGATATAACCAGCAATAAAAATCTTGTCGGCATTAAATAACCCATTGATGTTGATATGCCTTAAAACAAAACAAACCAAACCAATATATACTGAGATAGATAGATAGATAGATAGATAGATAGATAGATAGATAGATAGATAGATATAAACTGCAATAAAAATCATCCCGGCATTAAATAACCCATTGAGGTTCATATGCCTTAAAAAAACAAAAAAACAAAACCAATTTATAGATAGATAGATAGATAGATAGATAGATAGATAGATAGATAGATATTACCAGCAATAAAAATCTTGTCGGCATTAAATAACCCATTGATGTTGATATGCCTTAAAAAACAAAAAACAAAGAAAAAACCAATATATACTGAGATAGATAGATAGATAGATAGATAGATAGATAGATAGATAGATAGATATAAACTGCAATAAAAAATCATCCTGGCATTAAATAACCCATTGAGGTTCATATGCCTTAAAAAAAAAAAAAAAAAAAAAATTTGAGTCCCAATAGATAGATAGATAGATAGATAGATAGATAGATAGAAAATATTACCAGCAATAAAAATCTTGTCAGCATTAAATAACACATTGAGGTTGATATGCCGTAAAACGAAACAAACCAAAGCAACAGAAAGAAGATCAAAGAATTATGAATAAA